AAAAATAAAAAATCATCTCAATTTTTAGAAAACCGACTATGAAAATCGTAGCCGATCGTAACCGTTGCCATCCCTATCTACAATATGAAATAATCAAAATACAATAATGAATGACGCACTTTGGGCTAATGCTCAAATTTCACAAAATTTCACAAAATATGCCGTAATGTTACGAATATTTGTTGATTTTAAAAAATATATTTGTTTACTAAGATATTATACCAATACAATGTGTTTAATAGATTTAAGCATATATTTTGTGTTGCAATTATAAGGAGAATGAATATTCAGGAAAAGGACAACCGGGAATATCGAAAGATTTAAATTTAATTATCTGAATACACGATTCAATATAAATTATCAATATTCAGAATTACCCAATGTATTGAAACACAAGAACAGCCTTACAAAATATATTCCCAAATGGAGTAGATAGTGAATATGCTAAAGACCATTTTGGAAATATGACAAAAATAAATTTGTAATTCTTACAATCCTAATAAAATTAAGTTAAACTCATTATGGATCAAATATTAATAATTAGTAAACCGAATCCCATGTAACACGTACGTACAAACCAAAACATTGATGAGAAAATTTTCAAAAATATAAACTTTGAGAAACTATTTTAGGGAGAGGATTAAAAATATCATCACGTAAAATATTTTATTTTTATCATTTCATTTATTACTTTATTATCTTGATATATGTAAATTTAAAAAATAATAATGACAGAAACATTTTTTAACGATGTAGTTGAAGATTTTAAAAAATTGTATGAAACCAGAGAAGATTATGACGCAGTTATCATCGCTGGGGAAGAACCAAATGTTAAAGAAATTCGTGTTCATTCTTTAATCCTTCGCACTAGATCTTTATATTTTCGTAGTGCATTTTCTGCTAATTGGGCTGAAAGAACCAATGGTAATATGGTTTTAAAAAAGCCTAATATTAGTGCGTTAACAATTGAAATTATCCTTAAGTAAGTAATTAATTATCAAATGTCAGCAATACTCAAGATTCTAAATCTATATAGATATGATATAATTGTTATATATTTAATAAATATTGTAGGTATCTGTATTATGGTACAGTGGATTTCAAAACCCAAGAAAAAGATACAATTTTGGAACTGTTAGTTGCTGCAGATGAACTTGGAATTCAAAGACTTATTGATTCTGTTCAAGAATTTTTAATTAAAAATTGTCATAATTTTTTACTCCACGATTCTATTAAAATGCTTGACATTATTATCCGTCATGAAGTATTTGATAAACTCAAAGATGTTTCTCTTAAGACCTTTACTAAAAACTGCCAAGACTTATTACAAAAAAATATTATAAAATTACTTCATTTTATTACCCGTCATGAAGCATTAAACAAACTTAAAGAAGTTTCTTTGGAGACTATTAGTAAAAATCCTAACATATTATTTAATTCAGATGAGTTCAATTCGTTAGAAGAAGAAGTGTTAATATTAATTCTTAAATGTAATAAACTCGACATGAAAGAAGGTGATATTTGGAAACAACTAGTTAAATGGGGAATTTCTCAACATTCAACGTTAAATAGTAATGTGAAAAACTTTACGCATGAAAACTTTAATACGTTAGAACAGACTCTACATGGATTAATTCAACTCGTTAGATTTCATCAGATGGATCGGGAAGAGTTTATGCATGAAGTATGGCCATTCAGAAATCTCCTTCCTGATTACCTTATAGAGGATATATTACGTTGTTATTTGGTTTCAGGTGTTGTACCACTTTACCACAAATTTCAGATCAGATGGGGCAATATTAAAATTGACTCTGGTATATTAATTAATAAAGAGATTGTGCAATTGTTTGAAGTATGGATCGGCAATCAAGGCGTAAATTATTATGATTTAAATAAAATTCAATATGACTATAAACTTCTTTTTCGAAGTAGTGTAGATGGTGGTTTTTCGTCCCAAGCATTTCATCAAAAATGTGATAACAAAGGAGCAACAATTTTTGTGGGGAAAATTTTAAATTCAAATCAGCTAGTCGGTGGCTATAATCCAATTGATTGGAATGGAAATGGTATTTATAAAAATACAACAGAAAGTTTCTTATTTTCATTAAATGATCTTTATAATTCCACAAGTTCAACATTAGGACGCGTTAATCAAAGTAATGGTAGTAATGCAGTTTATTGCCATCCTAATTATGGCCTAACTTTTGGAAGTGGTCACGATTTATATGCTCCAAATAACAGCAATGCTTGGCAATTAAATGCTAATTCTTATACTAGCATCAATATCTCTGGTTCAATTACTATCTCTGATTTTGAAGTGTTTCAAGTAGTTAAGAAAATTTAGCTTTAAGTTCAAAAGTTTAAATTAAAAAAATAAATATATATTATACAAAATAATTGTTTTCTTAGTGTTAAGTTTTAAAATGATACATAGAGAATATTTATTATTTTTATGAATATTTCTTGGTGTATATACACAAGCATGATAGAAATTGGTTTTTATTGGTTGTTTATTTTCTATTGAAAAGTACTGTTACACAAATTTTTATATTGTTTTACAATAGAAATTTTAATTCTAATTGGACAAGTTAAAATTTTTTATAATGAAGATGATCTAAAATTTTACCGGATTGTTTTTTAGAAGCATAACTTTCATATAAACGTTTGAGATCAAGTGAGATCAAGTGTTCCGCCAACTTTTACTAGAAGCGATTCTGACAACGCCAGTATGTAACACAAAGGTATTACATTAAATTTTTGGCATTTTAAAACGAAATAGTTTATAAAAATCCACTGTTTTTTCGATTAAAAGTTTCGAACTTCACGTGAGCAAGCTATAAAATGTTAGTATTATTATTAGATATTATCAATCGGTCAATCGGTTTTACAAAAAACCATAAAGGGTATCGCCGAAATAACGTGAAGTTAATCTTTAGCTTTAACCAATCAAAATTTGTTATTTATAAATTATCGATCATTTTTTTAACCAATAAAAACCAATTTCTGTCATGCTATATACACATGATTTGTAAAAATTTTATTAAAAAAAACATTTTTTTTACTTTAGGGTTAGGGCGAGGCTTGAAATTTTAGCAAAGAGTCATATATATGTAAAATTTAGCAAGGAATTTTTTTTGTTAGAGCGGCAAAGGCGGTTTCATAGGCGAATTTTTAAGATATTATCAAATTTTGATTTTTTTTACTAAAATTCTTTGTTTTTGTTACACAAGCATGTTACACCTGATCTTAAATTTTGATTGGCTTTTCTAATACTTTGTATCACTATGTGTATTGCCACCGGGGAATTACGGCGAGTCAGTCGCTCGACTATCAAAAACCTTGCGTAACCTACGAATGGCTTAGTCGAAAGAGGGCGTTTAGATTTGGGCGATGGTTTGGGTTCGTAGGTGAGTACTCTCTTAATCTTCTTGGTGATTATGCCTTGGGGTGTTACTTCTCTAATATTAATCTTGTGTCTTAAGCAGGGGGGACCACGTAGGGGACTTGAACCTTGAAAATCGGGTAGCTTGGATACAACTGTACGTCGTGTATCCTAAACTGGAACCACAATTACCACAGTTCGTCGGGTAATTGGACAAACAATACAACCACAACTAACCACAATCCGTCGGGTTAGCTGGACGAAATAATACAACCACGGTTAGTCTTGGTATATTAAGACATAACCAGAAAATTCAAGGGTGAGTATCACGTGGACAAGGTAGCGAAGATCGTACTGTTAGTTGCGTTAAACAGTAGATCGGGGTTAATGTAATTTAGCGAATGTGTGTTTTATTTGGGACAAAATGTATGGGACTTATTATTTATTTAATAAAGAACTCAGTTTATAAAGCTAAACTTTGGAGAGTTATCCCTCCCAGTGGGCCAACACAGCCTTTATTTATAATTATAAAATTATATACAATTTATGCCATTTATCAAAAATATATCTTTTATCGCAGATATGCCATATATCTCATATATGGCATTTAATCTATATATTCCATAAATGCCTTATATCACTTAAAAGCAATATATGTATTATATGGCTTATATGTCATATATGGCATATATGCGATATATGCAGTTTATTTGGTTTAGCCACGTGACTTATGTTCACGTTATGTCGCCGACCTTGTTCAGGTTCAAAATTCGGGGCTCACAATGGGTAAATATTTATAAAATGGATTGCAGATTTTAAATACTGTGAAACCCGAAGTGTGGTTAAATTGGGTCCGGAACGGTACAACGTGACCCGAAGTCACGGGAAAAGTTGCATTTATTGCATTTATTGCATTTATTGTATTTATCTAATTTATCGCATATATGTAATAAATGGAATAAGTGTAATTAATGCAATAAAAGCGATAAATTAGATATAATACTTTTATTACATTTGTTAGATAAATGGTATAAATGTAATAAGTTAGATAAATTGTATACGAAAATTATATTATAAATAAAGGCCATGTAGGCCCAGTAAGGAGGAACAACTCTCCTAAGTTTCACTTAGTAAATTGAGTTCTTTATTGAATAATTATTCTAATACATTAAATTCCGAATACCCTCTTTCGCTAAACTAATCCTCAAACCCCAATCTACTGTTTAACGTAACTAAGTTAAACTTGTCCACATGATACTCACCTTTGAATTTTTCCAGTTAAGTCTTAACGTACCAAGACTAACTGTGGTATATTGTCCAGCTAACCTGACAGATTGTGGTTAGTTGTGGTTGCATTACTTGTCCAATTGCCCGACGTACTGTGGTAATTGTGGTTATAATTGATAAGTTTAGGATACACGACGTACAGTTGTATCCAGGTTGTCCAAATCTCTAAAGAATAAAGTCTCCACGTGATTCCCTTCAATTAAATAAAAGATTAGTATTATCGAAGTAACATCCCAAGGCATAATCACTAAGAAACTATAGAGTACTTACCTACAAATATAACCCATCACCCAAATCTAAACGCCCTCTTTTGACTAAGCTATTCATAGGTTACGCAAAGTTTTAGAGAGTCGAGTGACTGACTCACCGTAATTTTCTGGTAGCAATACATAGTTTAATAAATAATCTTTATAATCATTCACTAGAATAAAAAGATTATTTAATGGGTAATATTTATAAATATGAATTGAAGATTTTAAATACACAGATTAATAAATAATCTTTATACTCACTCACTAGAATAAAAAGATTATTTAATAGATAAATATTTATAAAATGAATTGCAGATTTTAAATACATAGATTAATAAATAATCTTTATACTCACATACTAAATTAA